GAAGGAGAAAGAGCTCCACGGGAGGTACTACAGGGCTCTACATGAGCCCTTCGTAGACACAGTCGCCTCCCTCAACTGGCTGCGTTTCGGTGACCTCTTCGGGGAAACCGAGGGTTTTGTCTGTGCAATACAGGATCAGGTTATTAAGACCAACAACTATCGGAGATACATCCTAAAGGATGGCACCGTTGACATCTGTCGAGCTTGTCGCCATCCCGGTGAGTCACTTAGGCATGTCATCTCCGGTTGTTCGGCGCTTTCTAACTCTGAGTACTTGCACAGGCACAACCTAGTAGCCAGAATTCTACACCAGGAGCTCGCTCTGAAATACGGTCTCGTGGACCGGAAATTGCCGTATTACAAGTACTTGCCGGAAGCCGTGCTCGAAAATGACCGCGCCAGGCTCTACTGGGACCGGGCCATCATCACAGACAGGACTATTCTTGCGAATAAGCCTGATATTGTGCTGATGGACCGGGCACAGTCAAGGATATTTTTGGTCGACATTACCGTCCCGTATGACGAGAACCTCGTGAAAGCCGAAACAGATAAGCAAACAAAATATCTGGACCTGGCTCACGAGGTGACCGACATGTGGGTTGGTATGCCGACCGAAATTATTCCTGTAGTCGTCTCTGCGAATGGGCTAATCCCAGTTAGCCTCTCTGATCATCTGAGGCGACTGGGACTACGTGACGGACCGCTCCGGGCTCAAATGCAGAAGGCGGTGCTCCTCGATACCGCCCGCATCGTCCGCCGGTTTCTTTCCCTTTCCCCCTAACCCTCGGCCGTTTGGTCTCCCCTGCCGAGGGCTTCCATCTGGTTGGGCTTTTATTTATTTATGTATTTTTGTATTTATTTTATTTTATTGATATTTATGTATATTAATCTTTTCATTTTCATTTATAATTATATATTTATACATCCCAACCAGATGAGAAAACTATATAGATACCCCACATAATAATAATGTCCTCCAGACTGAATTTCGGCCTCGGCGGCCTACCTCAACGGAGGCTAGCCATCGGCGTTGGACAGGGTTATAGTGCCCAAGTGTATGCGCAAGCACAGTTACACTCTCTCTTCCCTCACTCTCACAATCCGATGGGACGGTAAACCGACACGACCAGAGAGAGATCAGGCGCAGGACCAATGCCTTTACGTGCTTTCCCAGGCACGGGGGTGAGACACCACCAACTTCTTGACTCCGGTCAGCTACTGAGAATTTCTTGACAGAAAAACCCAGGACCTCACGATCAGCAGTCAAACTACTTCAACCATTAGACCAACGAGGCAGGTAGATGTCTAATAACGACAATAAAAAGAAGAAGTTTTAGTAATTTAAGGAGGTTTTCTTTTTTAAATAATTATTTACTAAAATAAACAAACATAGGAACAAGTCAGTGGTCACTCTAGTGTCATTTTCAAGGGAGAAACAGGGATATCGTCATGATGAGGACCATAATAATTGTATAAATATAAATCAACCCATTAAATCTCACGAGTGTCGTAAAAGCCTTAGGGATTGCTTTTAAAGACTTCGTTATTTTTATCAGTTTTAACTCACTATTGGATATAAATAGGATATTCAAAAGAATGCTCTTTAGCGCATGCACACATAACTTAACATAACATTATATAAAGGATTTGCCTATGAGAATTTACGTACTTTACATTTAATGAGTATTATTAGTCCGGTTATCCTATATCTTTAAACGAGCAATTCTTGTATAAGTATATGTATATATAATAATCGGAATCTCGGAAACGGTTCCAACGATTTTCATAAAATTTAGTGCCCAGGGAGTTTCGGGGGCAATAAATCGATCTAGCTAGGATTTATTTTTAGAAAATGTCCTTTTGCCCGTGTTTTCAGGTAATAAAAAAACTGCTGCAATATAAGATGGTAAATTTTGATGGATCGCTAACGATCGTAATAGCTCAGGTGGCATGTCGGTCGGGCGTGATATCGGAGTTCCGTGGTTCGCGTCCTGTCTCTGGTCCAGCTTTTTTCCTTTTTTTTCAAGTTCCCTTCTTTTGTGAGAAAATCTATTATTTCAAGACCTTTTTTTTGGTATTTTTTAAAATTACGAAAATTTTAATAAAACTCACAATAAAAAATTGCACTCATGATTTTTTATTCAAATGATCAGTTCAGTTTTTTCTATTCTGTCAATAAGATCAAAAAATATTATATAAGTTTCATCATTATTTAATTTAAAAATGTAATTTCAAAAAAAAAAAAAAACCGAGCAAAGCTCGGTCATCCGGGTACTTAAGTATAAACAAGCTATAAAAAGTTTGCTAATCAAAAAATGTAACTTACAATCGTGAAAGCGTAAGGCGAGTGCTGGAGGAAGTGAGTGCGGCGGCCGACCGCAGGAAGCCTTACTGAAGCACGGCTTCGCGGGTTCGAGGCCATGGACGTCGCTTTTGATACAACTTTTAGCTTATTTTAAAAAATATGTTATATTTTCATTACTAAATCGTGTAATGAAACGTCATAACTTAACACTAAAAATATGATATTTTACTACTGATGAACTATCATAAAGTCAATGTCAAAAATATTACAATTATATAAGTATTATAAATCTGTGACATATAGTACATATATTAACATGTGTTTAATTTTACTTTTGAGTACATTTTAACCATTACAACTATCGTTTTGCCGTCCTGGTTCGTTGATGTAATAATAATACCTGGTAGAGAACGAAATAGCACATTGTTATGAACAAGCTGCCTTACATTAGCTTCCGTATCGTGCCAAATTAAGCAAAAAAGCTTACGAAATAACGACCCTACTCATAAAAATCGATGTTGCTTTAATTTAATTTAAGAAATGCATAAAACTGCAGGTGCAACCCCTGGCGTCGTTCATGGACGGCGGTAGTCACTTACCATCCAGTGAACCGCATGCTTGTTTAACCCTCTTATATTAAAATAACTTCTCTCTCTTCGCATCTTCACTAAATGGCAGAGGAGAAAGACAGTTATACCTCAGTTAAGTAAGCGATGATCAAAGATAATAAGTGTAAATTGTAAATTGATAAAATGTCTGTCATAAGGCTTTTTCAGTGTTTGTATAGATGATTAAAAATTGGATTAGTAAAAATGTAATGTAGCGGTGACGTAAGATAATTAATTACTCTTACCTTTCCGTGCGTGACGTAACAGGTGATAGAGGGAGTTGAAACAGAATATAGGCAGCAGCATTTAATCGTGGTAGAGGCACGCTATAGTTGTAGGTATTATAATTGTAGCACGAAAGGGTTGGCTCGACCGGGGTAGGACCACGCTCGCATATAATACCAGCGTAAAATAGCATCCTATTGCTGCTGTGTTTCGTATGGTGAGTGCAGAGAACCGGAGACCCTGTTTACTTGTAACGAGGCATTCCATTTTAGTCCTCCCGGGTGACAACGTACGAGGGCGGCACTGAAAATTTCGGGAATCAAGGAAGTGAAACAACATTACTATTTAAAAATGTATTTATTGCTTTTCGAAGTATTCTCCGCGAAATTTGACACATTTTTTCCATACGATGGAACCAATCATTGAAGCAACCATTCCATTCGGAAGTTGGGGTCTCCAAAATGGCCGTTTTGTAGGCATCCACAGCTTCTTCAGGTGATAAAAATCTCGGTCCACGCAATTTATTCTTCATTTTAGGGAAAGCATAGAAATCATTAGGGCTTAGGTCGGGGCTGTACGGCGGATGGTCTTTCCACTCTTCCCGCATTCAATTCTTCTCTTCGTTCTTTGTCCCTCAAGAGGAATAGTCGTAACATGGCCGGTTTTGGAGACAAATGTGGCCACCATTGTTTTTGCAACACTCCGTGAACGAACAATTTTTGTTGGCTTTAACTCATTTTCGAACACCCAAACTCGTGACTAGTTTTTTGTTTCGGGTTCGTACGTGTATATCCAGGATTCGTCACCTGATACGATGTTGGATACAGCATTTGAGGATCCTGCGTGGAATCTTTCAAGAGTTCTGACGCACCAAGTAACGCGAGCCGCTTTTTGCTCTTCACAAAGCGAATGCGGTATCCATCGGGAAAACAACTTTTTTTACACCTAATTGTTCATGCAAGATTATTTGTATTTGACTCATGCCAATGTCTAAAGTTTCCTGAATTTCGCGGTATGTCACATGTCGATCTTCCTCAATCAGCTTACGCACAGCATCAACGTTTTCTTTGGTGACTGCAGTTTTTGGACGACCTTGACGGGGATCATCACTGAGCTTGGTACCATCACACGTCCACGTTGAAATTCAGCAGTCCAGCGATAAATTGTGGTTTTGGATGGGGATTCATCACCAAATGCAGAACACATCCGATCAACACACTGTTTTTGTGTTAAACCACTTCGAAAGTCAAAATAAATCATCGCTCTCGAATTTTCTCGAGTCAATTCCATTTTCTCAACGACTAAACAAGTTTGACAAAACCTTGTGACAAGACCGAGAATCTTTTCTTAAATAAATAAATGGTATTCGATTTTTAAAACCAAGGAGTTTTCAATTAAAGAGATTCTAATATGACAGGAACAGTGGAAATATTCCATTCCCGATACTATTAATGCAGCCTAGCTATCTACATTTTGATTCTTAGTCGAGAATAAATGTAGATGTCTATGGGCCACAGCATCCACTTATCATCAGGTGGACTGTGTTTGTCACTCTTATTCTATAAAAAAGAACATCTTGCAGCTCATAGCTAAATAGAAATAAAAACTGCTGTTTCCGCCATTCAAGCAGGGAAACTAGGCAAGTGTTCCTATCAGCAAATCTATAGATGACCTCTCCTAAAGATATTAATATTGAACTATAATAAATTAATAATGAAATTTGTTCAAGTACAGATATAAGGCTACAAAAGTAGAATTTCCGACTTTAAAGTGGCATCTAACACAAAATTTTCAAAACAATGGATTTGACTGTTTTGATTTTATAAGTATATATATAACATATTTATTTTTCTATTGCGCAGGCGTAAAAGATGACTCGGACGACGTATCAAGTAAGAGCTGCGGAGGCGACGCGTCAGGGCTCGCTAAGAAACAAAGAAAAGCGAGAACAGCCTTCACTGACCACCAGCTGCAAACCCTGGAGAAATCTTTTGAGAGACAGAAGTATCTTAGCGTGCAAGACCGAATGGAGCTCGCAGCTAAGCTGGGCCTCACAGATACTCAAGTCAAGACGTGGTATCAAAATAGACGGTAAGCATTATAGACATCCTTATCATAATCGTCAGCGTCAGCAGCAACAACCATTAAGAGCTCACAGCTGTCCAGCGGAGAATTCTTTCGGGCTTCTTACTCAAGTAGGAAGGTTTCGCTCTAATCGTCAGGCTCAGCAGGGGGATTGACGATTATAGTACCAGACGTCTCGTACCTTTGACGCTTCTACCTTTCTCCGGTCTAGATATTTTATTTTTATATTTTTATATTATTATTGATAATTGATGATACCGCCATCTCTTAAAAGATTTTGGCATTTTCTATAGTCGGCTTTTACGACACCAATGGGGCAAAACTGGGGTGATCGCTTCTCTTACACTGCCACTAAAGAGTATGGAACCACCCGCCACTACACCACAAACAGAACTTTGAAGATATATTGATAGATATAAGTTTAGTGAAATAAGATATGGTTTTATGGAAAAAAAACATTATCTATTAGTATATTACTAGCGATGCGCCGCGACTTCGCCTGAGTAGCATTTCAACATCTTTAATGTGGCGTTATTTAGGTTTTTTAAAATAACCATTACCATTTATTACGTAACGTAACGTAGTAACGTAATTTTAATATTATCTCTAATATATCTGCTAACACAGCATTACTGTATATTATTATTACCAGAACTGATCGGAATGAAAACCAATAAATATACATGTACTGTATTTTGAAGCTACAAATGTACCATGGACATGCATAATTTATAAAACCACTAGCTATCCACCCCGACCTCGCACGGTTGATCTGGATCTCGACAACAGCGCTACCAGAAACAGAAACTGAAATTTTTTTTATTCAATGTAGATTATAAACAATACTTATTGCAAGTCAATTTTTTCATTTACCACTGGTTCGAAAAAAACCTCTGTCCTGGGAAGAACCAGCGAGAAACCCAGCAGGACTATTTTTTTATAAATAAACGCTTACAATCATGTTTACAATTAACAACACAAGACAAATTAGAAATAGCTTGGTAGCGATCACCCTTTCCAGGGGTTATTATCATCCATAAATTCCTTAATATTATAATAACCCTTTTTATACAAACTTAGTTTAATAACATTTTTGAACTTTGCGTATGATAAATTTTGTATATTTTCTGGGATTTGGTTGTAAAAGCGTATACATCGCCCCAAGAATGAATTACTTACGCGGTGGAGTCGAGTAACTGGTACTACTAGCTTGTGTCTGTTCCTAGTATTTACAGAATGAATATCACTTATTTTTGCAAAACTACGTTTATTATTGTGTACGTACTCGTACATTACATTTTCGTAAATGTATTGAGAGGCGAGAGTAAATATATTAATTTCCTTAAATTTTTGTCTCAGTGACTTTTTTGGGTTTAAATTATAAATTACTCTAATGGCCCTCTTCTATAAAATAAATATAATTTCAGTGTCAGTCCCGTGTCCCCATAGCAAAATACCATACGACATAATGCTATGGAAATAACTAAAGTAAACTATTCTAGCTGTTTCAACACTGGTAAGAGTTCTAATCTTTTTTTACAACATATGCTGCAGAACTAAGTCTGTTAGCTAGTGTTGATATATGGAGGAGCCATTGAAGCTTTGCGTCTAGTGTGATTCTAAGAAAAATGGTGGTATCAACAAGACACAGTTCTTCCTCATTTAAAATTACATTCGTATGTTATGTTCGTTATGTTAGACTTTAGAAGTTACGAATTTCATACATTTTGTTTTAGTTCAATTTAAATGCAAATTATTAACATTAAGCCAATTGACTAACTTAGCTATAGCATTATTTACTTCGTCGTAATTTAATAACTGTCGTTTTAATTTACCCATACTAATTCCAATTGTGAATGTAAACCATTCTCGAATCAACACAAAAAAATTCATCAAAATCGGTCCGGCGGGTTAGGAGCAGTTTAGTTACACATTACACACAGACAGAAGAATTATATATTTAAAGAAAAGTGACATAAGAAAAGCCCTGCCAATATTAATTAACAACTGATACCTGAAAAAGCAATTCGCGATCCGCTTACGCGCGCGTCTTTTAAGGTCTGTTCCATTAGCGGATTTCTTACGCCTTCAATACAAAAACACAATCTTAAGAAAATCTTTTCGATATTTTAGGATAAAAAATTGGGTTAGAACAAAAAAATTGATGAAAATAACTAGCATAAATTCTAAAATTATGTCCTGTTAAATATTACCATTTAAAGCACGAGCGAAATTGACAGATAACAATACATTTACGTAGTCCGATAATTTTTCTAATTGATTTGTGGAAAAGGCACTCATGCTCTGAAGAATGCTTTAAGAATATGAATGATGATTCCGTTTTTGTAGCATTAATATTTAGAAAAGTAAATTATATCGGAAACAAATTCAACAAAATAATCTGTACATAATAAACGGGTATAAAATATAAAGTAACAAAAGTTTTAATTTTGAAACGATAAAACTATTTCTTTTATAAAATTTAAATGACGCTTTAAGATAAACTTATTTAAATTGTCGATTTGAAAGATAATGTTTCATAAAGAAGATTCGGATAAATTTTAGTAATACGATGCTTTTAATCGAGAAGTAGAAGGTGTCTGGATTTATAATATCTAAGAAAATACCAACTCGAAGAAACGACAATCGTGTGAAAAAATGTTCTTAAGTTACTGCTGCCACTTGGTGGCACAACCAAAGTGTAGGACAGCCCTAACTGTAAGGAGTACGAGATCAAGGAAGTCGATGGATGCAGCTGGCTCAGGGATGAAAATATAATAGTAGTTTAAAAAGTTATTTTAGTTCCTTAAAAAACCTGTTGATTACATTTTGGAAGTAAACAGATAATGTATGAAGTGCGAATACTGATTTATTGAACTTCATAATTAACAACTCAGTCTATTTTTACTTAATACGTAAATAAAAGCAAATCCTGATGATAATAATGATTTTACCTCGTTTTTTTATATCGCTTATCTTGATTTAGTAATTGATTTTAAATTTGAATTACAGACTTGAAATTTTGAACATAGTCCAGAATCTGAAAACAATGAAATAATAGGAGAATTAGTACGTGGTATATTAAAAAATGTTAATACATGATGTTTAATACATAATTATTTTGAAAAAAAGTTCACTTTATTATATTTTTACGTGGATACTACATCTAATATATATAAAATATTATTGGTTTGTTCGTATTATATGCGTTGCCACACCGTTCATCATGCAATTTTGTCAACTTATTGCTTGCACTTGCGCGAAGGTTATAGTTATAGTACAATCAACTTCCAAGTAGGTGGCGCGCGTATCGCAATGACAAATTTATTTGAAAGTTCTTTATCATTCATTTCAATGAATGTATTATTATTCCATATTAAACAATATAACTGTTCCAAATTTAAACCGATATTTCCTCAATTATTTCTTCTGCGGTAGCAACGCGCCGGGCACCAGCCAGTATTAAATAAAATTATAGCGTTACTTTTTAAATATTCATCTATGATTTATCTACTCAAAACTCTATTATATTATAATCTCTATTATAGTAGTATTAGTTTATATATATCATATGTAACTATAACATTTATTATTTTTATCCACTAATTTATTTTATTTTTATTTATTGTTGTATTTTATATAATTTTCGTAACATTTCGTATATTATTTATTCATTAGTAGCACTAAGTTTGCCATTTAAATATAATTTCCTTTATGGGTTCTGTCAGATATTTCAGCAAATTATGGAATAAGTAGAACCTTTGTACAAACTTACAATGAGACTGCTTCTGTATCTTGATGTGTGTAATAAATAAATAGAAAAAAAAGAAGCTTAACTGTCAGACCAAGATATTGATCTTGGTCTTACAGTTATATTCTTGGGATTGGGTTTATCTTAATTAACAATGAGATCCCAAACAGATCAACGGCTCCGTGGCAGTAGCTTGGCAATCTGTTACGGCGCTCAGTACCACACATACAAGTACGGTCAGAAAAAGTATTTGTATGGCTTACAAATAATTGTTTGGAGTCTGGATGTTTGTTACTGTGCAGTTTATGTATGTAAACTACCTCCACGATAAACAAACAGGGGGCCGGGAGGTGGGGGGGGGGGCATAAAAAATAAGAGATAGGCTTCTCCAGCTATCTTATCTATTGTAATTTGGAAGTTTAGTTTTAATTTCAGCCACCGCGAATCCTCGTAAAACAACACATAGGTGTTCTTATGCGAGGATTCGTGGTTTATCAAATCTGAATGGCGGCGGTGATCCTGAACATGACTATGAAACAGACTGTAGACATCTTTATCATCATATAAATCTCTAACGTGAAAACCTGCGTATTAAGTTTTATTTTTTTATTATTAACTATATTTAATAATTTGCACGAGCTAATTGGTAGTTATGTTAAAACAACTTTATCCAAGGTACGTTAAATAGTATCGCTAATTTATTTTAATTACGTGTTTCTAATATTAAGCAAAGTTAATTTAAAATATCTGAAAAAACCCTGTTTCTTGCAAAAAAAAAAAACGTAAACATATCAAACGCTTAGGTAATGATGATTTATAGAAACTTAAATACTAAAACAGACTTCATTTTATTTTTCTAAAATATTATTTAGCCTCAAAACTAAAACTTTTAAGTTTAATTTATAATAGAACAATATATCGATACAAATTATATCGATAAATTATTTGAGGATAGACATTTATAGCACTATTATAATTCGCGAAATTATAACATCATAATTTCGCGAATTATAATCTCAGCACTGTTGCTCAAAAATTAAATGTCATGTCTTGATGTTGGTAGATTAGCTTGGCACCCTTTGATACAAGGAAGTCCCACTTCTTAAACTTAATGATTATATTCTCTTTGACCTACATATTTATTTATCTATGATATTTAATATTTACGTAGACAGAGAAACCTATAGACATATTTCTAATGAAAATATTGTATGTAGACCATTGAGATCACGCTACCTCCCACACAGGTAATGGA